GGATATGTATGGCAAGATAAAAATAACGAGTAGACAACCCCTAATCAAAGACTAAATGCATGCAAATCAAACACACTATTCACACATGCACCCTGAGGTTAATCTCACTTGTTGCCTCGGAAAAATAGTCATGTCCCTCGAATATGGGCGTTTTAGCAAAGACCCTTGATAAAAGATTGAAGTCCCTCGATGACCCTCAATGTTGCCTTCGGTAAACGATCTCGTCCCTAAACGAAAATTGCTAAAACATCCCATAAGTTGCCTTCTATGACTATACAAATGTCCCACGCCCATCCCTTCACATCCAACGATGGAGCTTCTTACCAAATCAATGGTAAGATAGCAACATCTAAAGGAGGAGGAAACAAACATTAGACCTTTTGAGTAGGTAGGATACTCCTAGTTGCTCGCTTACTCACAACAAAAACATTTTATACACCAACACTTTCATTTGAAACATTTTCAAAAGTTAAAACACTTTGTACGCGTTCTTATAGAAACGAGAACCATTACAAAGACACCTTTTCAAAATCACTTTCAAAAACACATTCCACAAACACCTCTTTGAACTATTTTCAAAACAACACTTGGTACGTGTTCTTATAGAAACGAGAACCATTACAAAGGCGTTTTCAAAATACTTTCGAAACCCACACCACAAGCACATTTTCAAACAAAAGAAAGTGATCTAGCAAGAAACTAAGAGCCCGTAGATAACTACGGATGAAAAGGGTGTTAACACCTTCCCTTTTCACAACCTATCCCCCAAACTCAAGAAATAATCTCGAAAGGTCTTTCCCGTTCCTTTCAAATTTCCTTATTGGATAAAAGAAAAGTCGGTGGCGACTCTTGCTATCTGCAACAATTGCGATCAAACACAAAACACCTAAGTCAATTCTCCCACCGTGTTACACCTTTGAATATAGAGTTCAATGATTCCACCAAATTTGTTGTCATGTGACCCCATCGTTGACCATTGTCAAATTCCCTACTCGCTTCTCCACTAGAATGTTATCGATCCACCTTAATGCTTCTGAGTTTGCCAACCATATTTCTTTGCGATAGTGTCGGAATGACGGTTCTGTTAAGGCATACCCTGCATTAATAACTTTCTTTTGAAGTGTCTTATCTTTGATATGGAGCATGAGGTTTTGCGTGATATGTATAACGCAATAGACATGTGTCGAAGGGGGATCCTGCCAACCATTATCAGGGTTATTTTATGCACTCACAATTGATGGATGTCTGTCTGAAATCAAACAAAGGTTGGGTTGAGTTATATTTAGATCCGATTCCTTTCATGACAACTTCATTCTTTTCATTTCACATTAGACATTCTTCTTTGGAGAAGTTAACTTTGAATCCTTGATCACATAGTTGGCTTATACTTATCAGGTTATCTGTTAACCCTTTTACAAGTAACACATTATCAAGTTTAGGAACTCCTGAATAGTCAAGCTTGCCAACACCTTTGATTTCTCCTTTTTCTCTATAACCAAAAGTTACATAACTGGTGGAATGAGATTTGACATCCACCAACAGATTCTTGTCACCTGTCATGTGTCTAGAACATCCATTGTCAAAGTACCAGTCGTCTTTGGTTGATACTCTAAGAGAGGTGTGAGTAATGAGACTTCTAACATTGGACTTGGGAACCCACTATTTCTTCTTTTTGCTGTTTTAGGGAATCTTATCATTTTTGGGAGGAGTGGAATTTTTAGGATACCCATACAGCTTGAAACAAAAGGGCCTTATATGTCAAAGCCTTCCACAGTGATGACATTTCCAGGGATGGGGATTCTCTCTGGTGTGATTAATCTTTTTCTTCCCATGATATCCTTTCTTCACATGAGGTTTCCCAAGATGTCCTTTCTTATCATGATGTTTGCCCACATGTTGAGACATCTGATTCAACATCTTTGGTTTAGCCTTGGCATGTGTGGTAACAGATGCGGGCTGTTTGCCATGATTTTCATTCTTTATATGATGTCTGCCAGGATGTCCTTTCTTACCATGATATTGAGACATTTGATTCGACATCTTTGGTCTAGGCATGGCATGAGTTGAAACAGATGGAGGCTCTTCTGAGTTAGGTTCCTTTTTTTCATTGAAACCTAAACCACTCTTATCTCATGTCACTCTTCCTTCTTGGAGAATTTCATCTAATGTGTCAGACCCATTATTCAACATCTTGAGAGATTTGACCATTCTATAAAGATTTGAATTTAGAGAGGACACTTCACTTTCCAGATCAGAAATAGTTTTAAGATGCTCTTCCCTTTCCTCCTTTAGCTGAGTTATAAGGGCTTTCTGTTTCTCCCCTTCAAGACATACTTCTGCACTTCTGAGAGATAATTCTTTATATGAAGCAGCTAACTCATCAAAGGTTAGTTCCCCATCACTAGACTCTTCATCAGATACATATTTTCCTGTCAATGCTTTCACATATTTGGCAGATTCTTCAAGATCACTCTCTGAGTCCTCTTCAGACCAAGTAACAAATATATTCTTCTTCTGTTTCTTTAGATATGTAGGGCATCCAGCTCTAATGTGACTAAAGCCTTCATATTCAGGACATTGTATTCCCTTCCCTTGAGAAGTTTTTTCTTCAACCCTTTTTCTTCCCATGTAAGATGAGATGTTCTTGACATTTGACCTTTGGTTCATGGCCATTCTTTTTATCACTTTATTAAATTGTCTTCCAAGCATAGCTAGGGAATTTGATATTCCACCATCTGAATCTAGATCATAGTCCTCTTCTTTATCTTCAGTATTGGATACAAAGGCTATGCTTTTATTTTTCTTCTCAGATCTTTCATTTATGCTGAATTCAAATGTTAGAAGGGATCCAAAAAGTTCATCCACTTTAATTTTGTCAATGTCTTAGGCTTCTTCTATAGCAGTTACCTTCATATCAAATCTCTTTGGAAGAGACCTGAGCATCTTTCTCACCAATTTGTCTTCAGGTATTTTCTCTCCTAAAGCACTGGAGGCATTAGAAATTTCAAGGATGTTCATATGAAAGTCATTTATACTTTCATCATTTTTCATCAAGTTCTTAAATTTTGTGGTGAGCAGTTGTAGTCTTGACATCTTAACTTTGGATGTGCCTTCATGAGTAGATTGAAGAATTCCCCATGCATCCTTAGCAACTTCACAAGTATTCACCAATCTGAAAATATTTTTGTCAATTCCATTGAATATAACATTCAAGGCTTTAGAATTTCCAAGAGAAATTTCATCTTCTTCCTTAGACCAATCTTCTTCGGGTTTTAGTTCAGCAATAGGTTCTTCATTCTCTCCCAATTTGACAGGGTGTTTCCATCCTCTTAAAACAACTTTCCAAGCCCTGCTGTCTAAGGACTTTAAAAAGGCAACCATACATGGTTTCTAGTAGTCATAATTGCTTCCATCCAGAATGGGTGGCCTGTTCACAAATCCTCCTTCCTTGTCCATAGTATCATAAAGTATCTTCCCTGGATCTCACCCAGATAAAGAGAAGGATGCCTGCTCTAATACCAATTGAAATTTTGGTATCAGATATGTGATGTCGAAAGAGATGTCACAACACGAATATCTGTTTGCAAGTAAGGTGCAGTAAAATCAAAAGCAGTAAAAACACAAGAGATTGTTCACCCAGTTCAGTGTACAACAACACCTACTCTAGGGGCTACCAAGCCAAGGACAAATTAACTAATAGTATCAATTCATAGACCCTCAATAAATAACCAGTTTACGATCTAATCACTTAATCACTACCCAAGCTAAACTTCTACCTAAGACCCACCTAGGTATAAGGCCATCCTCAAATCCCTTCAATCACTTACAGAATTAATAAGTTTGGAACACTTCAATCATTCAATGCTTAAAAGCTTATGAATGATACACAATTAATAACCCAAATAATAACTCAAGTACTTAAAATAATAATTAGAGTGTATTACAATAAAAAGCCTAAACTTCTAATCAGAAAGAAAGTATTCTTCTTCAAAAATTGCTTTTCTTTGAATGAGGTAACGAGTCCTTATATATGCGCAGCTTTGGGCTTGGGCTTGAAATCAAATATGCAAATATTTTGAATATTTCCATAAAAACAAGCTAAGATATAATTATGCAAATTGAAAAACATTCCTCCATATTTTTTGCAACCCGTAGTTCACAAATCCTGAGTTATAGAATGTTGGAAATCAGGAAACAAAGGACTTAACTGATTTTGGGCTGAGATCAGTTCAGTAGGCAGATGTCAAGACATCTGCTTTAAAATCATTCAAAACAATTTTTCTCCAAATGTTAAGACATTTAGCAAAACATTAACAAGTCTTTGTTTTACCAAAATTGCTGCCAATAAACACTTACAGTTTCTATCACATTTTTCAAATTTTATGATTAGTAAATATCAATTTTCACTGAAATTTTGTGTTTGTACCAATTTTTTTAGTTCGAAATCATGCATTTTTACCACTTTTTTTGAAAAAATCAAGTGAAAACCCATGTGTTGTATGCATTTTTATCATATTTTTGGGGGTAATCCGATGAATATTTATACATTTTATCGTATTTTAAAAAAAATCATTAAAAATGCATATTTACAGGATTTTATAAAATTTTTTGATAAAAATGCATATTTTTTAAATGAAGTTTAAAAAAACAGAAACAGTGTATACATATTATCGATTGTTTAAAAAAATACAGAAATATGTATGAATTTTACCGGGTTTTCCATAAAATTCGCCAATAGGCTGGTTTTTTCTGGATTTGTTTTAAAAAAATCGATAGTTTAAATATTTTTGAAATTTTTAGTGAGGATCTGAGGATCATATGACACGATTGGTTCTCGATATCGTGATAGAATTTGAGTTTCTGCAACGACGACTCGAGCGAGGAGAGATGACGTAGAAGACTTGCATCTCTAGATGTGGAGAGTAGCCCCGAAAAATCTCACTGCAGGCGGTTGGCACCTGATCATTTCCATGCACCCTGAAGTATCCCACGTGGAGGATCTATAGATGTTGTTGGATGGACCAAACAAGGAGATGGTTAGCCAATTGTTGAGGATATCCAGGAATCAATTGAGGATGACATGCAAATGGTGTTTTGGATACAGGGGTGTCACATCCTCTTGAGAAGACAGAGGTGCCCCATCCTTCTGAGACAAAGGCTCTGACTACTATAGAGGTTACTCTGCAAATGACTATTGAGTCTTCAGCTACAAATGATATGAAGGTTAGTCGTTCGGTTGAGACGAATGTCATTGCTTCGAATTAGACAGAGCCTTGTGTACACACGAGTGAAGGGTTTCATAGAGGGCCCAATGACTACTCTATGCTCACTGAATATGTTGATCACGTGGCATTTAAATTATGGAAGATAGGTATGTATATGATATGTCGATGATGAGACTTTATTTATTATTCATACATTGTGCATAACTGATTCTTTTGACTTTATTTGTTACAGGACTGATCGCCATTGAAGGTGCTCACCCACGGGGGGAAGCAGAAGACCTTCTTGGGATTCTCGATGCCAAAGAAGGTCAAGGTGATTGTTGGTGATTTCGGTCTCCTTTATGTGGTGAAGTGTTCGCTTACCATGCTCGATGGTCAGCTATTGACAACCTTTGTTGAGTGATGGCACAAGGATACAACTTTCTTCCGTCTTCCATATGATGAAATGACGATTACCCTGGATGATGTATCCTCTCCATTCGATCTCATCCTGACATGTATTTTCTTCACCGCTCCCCTCATTAGCTAAGAGCTTACACATATGACTTTTGTATAGGACTTGGGGTTACTGAGTATTAGATGTTATATGAGTTTAGGTATAACAAGAGTGATCACTTTCGCCTATATTGGCTCTGAGATATGTATAAAGATCTAGTGCATCAGGGCATGTATGAGTCTACCTGTGTTATTGTGCAATGTTGGATATATGAGCATTTCCCATCCATTTGTGATAGGCAAGTTATTTCTACCACTGTTGGGTTTACACATGCCAAGAGATGAAGGGGTAAAAATGCACACCCGTGAGGAGTTGCGAAGTATATGAATATTATTGATGCACTGACTGTAGACGATCTCACCCGAACATCCTAAGCAGAACATAGAGTGCACCCGCAGTTTAATGTGACTTTATTTTTTCTATTATCAGCAACGGGAGACGTTATTGGCTAGAAATTTACCTGAGAGGTGTCTGCTCCAATTTGATATTTCTAGTACATCCCACGACAGTCCCTACTATTCTATCTAAGGACATTGATATAAGGTTTATTGGTAACATTTTGGTGTCTGCATGTGCCATTAAAGATCGTGCAGTGAAGGTTCAATTCATTATAGAATGTGTGGATGGGTACTTGGAGTGGTACCTTGCTATATCACACTCTCACACCATCCTACCTAGCCAGCATAAAGATGATGATGCTGGACTTTCTCATGCTAAGGAACCTTCTGATGATGTGTTGGCGCCTACACCGCCTCCACATGGTGCGGATGACGCTCAACGCTTGCAGATGATTGCAGTCATTATGGAAAAACTCATGGGTGTGGTGAACTCAGATGGTGAGTTTATACTTTAACATCGCAGTCAACACATATAGTCTGCGGGGAACCTATTTAGATATTATTATCATTTGGCATTATTTGTTTATTATGTGTAATATTACTTAGACATTTGCACAACACTCTTAATTAGATAACATTTTGGCACTTCATTGATACATGACGAACAAAACTTAACATTTGACAAATAATTACACAACTTAGGAAGACGATTACATAACTTAACAAAACAATAATAAATAAGAAAACCTAAACACTACCAGACGATTCTAGATGTATCAACATCTTAATTATGTTGTCTACATATCTAGAAATTGTCGCATAAAATTCGATTGGTCCTTTAGTTAACCTACAGTGATATGTTTTCCACATAACTTTCAAACTTTCACTGTTCTTCAACTCAATAAAGTTGTATTTCACATTTCCATCACTAGCAATCCACTATGCACAAAACTCGATCTTACTCACCTTTCTGTTCTTGGTGTCAGACAACATATTATTCAACTTAGATCTCAGAAATGCGAGACATGTGGTGCCCTTTGGGAGCCCAAACTCTACAACAAGTTTCACCTCGTTGAAGTACACTTTTGTCTTAAACAAAAATTGAGACATTGTAAAAGGCTTTTATTAACAACACATGACCCATATTTATACCACTTTGGATTCATTCTTGGCCACACAAAATGGTCGGTGCAATCACAACTATACAAAACTGTCGATAAAATTTCAACCATTCAATTAACACTACCGTATTTTTGCATGATCCACTAAATATCTCGTAAGTGAATGTTGTTTTGAAAAAACTAGTACTTGTTAAACTACAAGAATTTTCACCTTTAATAAAAAAAATCGTAAATATAGGTAGGTACATTTAAAAAAAACAGTTTGCACCATAATATATTGAATTTTTGAAATATCTTATACACCAGATTTTTCATATACACTATCTGATTTTTTGATTTGTACCCGGTTTTATAAATGTTCTACCAAATTTTTCGTCTAAATTTTTTGATAAACTTTTGATAAATGTAACACAAATATTATAGAAACATATGGGGTTCCAGATTAAATTAGAGAGGTGACAAGATAAAATCTCTAAACTGACACACAAACTTAACAATCCAACAATAGCGATGATCCATAAAATAGAACCAAATTAATCATTTATTATTTTATGAAGATTGAATACCATCCGATTAAAACAAAATCATCAATATGACGTCAGGTTAATGACATCACTCCTTCATCTACGAACTTAAAGAAGATTCTTAACACTCGAGAACAAGTATGAGTTTGTTCTAGAAAAACACTTAATCCAAAGAAAAAGATTGAAAGAATAACGTAAGATGAGAAAACACATAATATTCTTACTCTTATTATTTTTGGACAACTTTTCTAATTTTTAAATTCCCAAAATCCTATAGCCTAAAATTAAAAGGAAAAACAATTCGTACAATCAAGATACACTTTTTAAAATCTAAAATACTTCTCGCTTCCAACAATCACTAAATCAACTACCTAACTAAGAACATAACATACCACTAAAAACCCTTAATTACCCTTCCTTCAAAATAAATGTGAACTTACAAATGCCCTTAATAGTAATTTGCTAAATCAATTAAATTGGACCAATGACATTGTCCCATTCATCCAAGTGGCACATATTTTTCAATCATTCTATTGAATTTTGGCTGAAAAGTTGCATTATGTCATACGGTGGGAGAACTGACTTGGAATGTTTTGCGTTTGATTGCAATTGTTGCGGATAGCAAGAGTCGCCACCAACTTTTCTTTTATCCAATAAAGGAAAGGGTGAAAAGAACAGGAAAGACCTTTGAGATTATTTTCTTGAGTTCGGGGGGTAGATTATGAAAAGGGGAGGTGTTAGCACCCTTTTCATCCATAGTAATCTATGGGCTCTTAGTTTTTTGCTAGATCACTTGCTTTGTTTGAAAATGTGCTTTGTGGTGAGTTTTGAAAGTATTTTTGAAAAGCGCATTCATTTAGGCTAACTTTGTAATGATTCTCGTCTCTGTAAAAATGTATACGAAGTGTTGGACTTTTGAAAATATTTCATGGAAAGTGTTGGTGCATTTAGAAAAGTGTTTGTGTTTGAAGATGGGTAATTAAACTAAGAACGTTTCTACCTACTCAAAAGTCTTTCGTTCATTTCTCTCTTCCTTTTACGTTGCTATCTTACCATTGATTGGTAAGAAGCTCTATCTTTGTGAGATATCTTAGCATTTCTCTTGAGGGACTAAGATCATTTATAAGGCAACATTCGAAGCGTCATCTAGGGACTATGATCTTGTATTTTTCGATTACTTTTGCTAAGACGTCTCAGATGCTTAACATGATCATTTTTATAAGGCAACAAGTGGAATTAACCCTAGAGGTGAAAGTGTTTGTATTTCATGCTTGTTTTATATTGGAGTAGTGTTTTCTAAGATTTATTTTATCTACCCATACAAATCCTACTTACTATTATTTATATGAAAACGATAAATTGCAGAAAGTAAATATCCTACACTATTACAATCACTTGGGGATGAGGTATACTGATTTACAAATGGGGGTTGCAAGAAAATTAAAAGTCCTAATTATCTATTGCAATCATATTGAAATAATGTACAAGAAATGTAAAAAATGGACTTGTTTTGTTTTTGTTAGGAGAAGAAATAAATTTGCTTAAGAAAATGTTTTTAGTCTTTTTGTTTTAAAGAAAAGCATGTGAATATAAAGTGTTTTTGGTGTTTTTGATTAATGAAAATAAAGTGATGATAAACATAATAAGGGAATAAGAGTTAGAGTCAGCGCGTTGCTGAAATAGTGGAAGTTCTGACTCAGGTGCGCTGCAAATCAGAAAGAAAATGTTAGCGAAAAGAGGGAAAGGCCAGAAGTTCTGGGGTTGCTGGGAACAAGGGAAAGCCTATAAGTTGTGATTGTTAGATTATACCTAGAAGTTCTAATGTTACTGGAAGGTTAGAAGTTCTAGTTGTTAAGAGAGTCTGGAAGTTCTGATGCATTTGGAAACCTAGAAGTTCTAGTGTTACTGGATGGCTAGAAGTTCTGGTAATGGGTCAGTGAGGTGTCAATAATGTTGGATGGGAATATCTAGAAGTTCTGGTCGGGGAGTACTATTTTAACAAACAAATGGGAGGGGTTTTATCTAGAAGTTCTGGTCCAGGGTTATTGTTTGACAAATAATGGAGTAAAAGTGTCAGGAAATAAATATAAAAAGGTGTTTCTGGGGCTAGAACTCATGACCCTTAACACTAATGCCTTATACACACGCTCTCTACCATTGGGGTGGATATACATCCGGTATTAGAAACAAAAACATAAACATATATTACAAAGTAAGCTCTGATGTTGAACTTCATCTCCTTCTCCACGCCAGTCAGAGTATCTGCAACTTAGTCATTTCTCAGAAAAAATGGGAAATGCAAACATAGCAGTTATAACAAATTTCATCATGGTTTCAGAAACACAAAGCATCAAAACTGAAACCAAAAACAAACATGAAGTTTACTAATCCTAATTCTGAACCCTAATTTCCTCAAGAAGTTCTGATATGAAATTCTCTCTACTTAGGACATATAAATGGATTCTATAAATATGTACAGAGTCAGAGTCATGATATCTACATTGTATCTTTGGAAATACAAGCCTAACAATGCCTAAGTAATGAGATA